TAATGTAACAATTATAACAATATTTTACAAGTTATTCAAAACAGACTTAATTGTAGTGAAGTTGTGTTATTATTTAAAATTGGAAGTTTATATATAATAGAAAAGCTTTCTTTAATTAAAAGTCCAATGTTGAATTATTCAGATTATTCACTGCTTAAGAGTTTTACATACTTCATTTAATACTAGCTGGAGTACCCGTCCCCTGAACGGAAGTTATGCAAATTAATGATTAATTAAAGGTTATCTTCAGAAATGTAAAGTTGCTTCCCTTATATGAAATTGTATAAAAAAAAAAAAAACATAAAAACTGCAAAACACAAAATGTGAAACCGCAAATTTGCATGTATCTCCCTGTGGGCCCAATGAATCACCATACCAAATTTGGCGAAGCTCCATCCACAGGAGGTGAGATAGTGGTACAAAATGCCCATAAAAACCGCAAAACTGAAAACTTGCATGTATCTCCCGCATGAACCTAATGAACCCCCATACAAGTTTTGGTGAAGATCCATGCATACCCTGCAAAGTAGTTACATGGAAATATAACAGACAGTACTATTATATTTATATAGATTCTTTAAAGAGATCACAGGTTTTGAAAAAATCCCTTATTTTTTATGTTTGAAGATAACCTATTCGCTAACCTTAGATTATTAAATAGCGATATGCTATGAGGGACCAGTGTGACCAGTGGTTTTCCGGCCGGACTAATTATATCAAGTTCTGTGTTTCGCGTTCCGTTACCGCAGAAAGAAAAACCGCACCTTGCACTGTTATAAGAGTCGAAGAGTAAATCCCACTATTCGATCTTATTGCAAAATAAAAATGTTATAACGTTCCGAGAAATAAAAAAAAAACAGAAATGTAAGAAATATATTTGTATACAGTTCTACTATCCAACAGGACAAACTGAGGAAATTTTATTACTTCTAAGAACTTGCGTCACCATTGAAAATATGCCTACTATCAGCCCCATTTGATGTGTTTGTTTGAGAGCAAAGTCACAATGGACTATCTGCTGGGTTCAACGCGGGGAATAGAACCCCGGATTTTGGCGTTGTAAGTCCATAGACTCACCGCTGTCCCACCGGGGAACAGCCCCATTTTAAGTCATAGTTTCAAATATACGCGAGAGGAAAGTAACCTTCTACTCGTTCATGAGCTTTCGATACACAACAATGTAACATAATAATTAGTTGCTATCAAGAGTAACTCCAATTGTCTTTGAAGCTGACTAATTCTCTTGGATCTGAATTATAATTACGGTCGTCTTACTTTAATACAAATATACTAGCATAATCACTGATTACATCAGTAAAGATTAAAACTGTATTAACTGATTCATATAAACCAGACTTATATAACATGTTTACAAAGAATAATAAATAAGTATTAAATTCTACATCAACATAATATTTTTTAAAATCTCTCTTAAAATATTCAATTGAGAAACATGCATTAAACCCTACTGCGCAACAATATCTTGTTTTAATATTTAAGCCCTCAAATGTCTCTAATGTAAATAAATAGAATATAAGAACTAAAATACAGCTTAAAAGTCCTAAATAATAGCTAATTCTTCCCACCAAAACCAATATATATTCTTCTATGGAATCTAAACAAAGTGGAATTTATGCAATTCACACAATTTCTATTTATTTTGCAGAAACTTTGGTGATTGCTGAGTTTAAAGCTATGGAACATTCAGGTCCAAATGGCAAAATCCCTGAGGGTAAGTGGAATTCAACCATCTGTACAACGGAATTCAAGCTGGATGATCAAGTAAACGCAACCTCTTATTCACTTCTGAGAGGATCGGTTGATGGTAAGCAATGATATCGCCCCTAATTAGGTCTTATGTATAATTTAAATTAATTAACTGACAAATTTATTTCTAGAACTACGTTGGTACATTATACTGATAATGTTTTACCCTCTGCTGAAAGTATTATTGCTTATTTTATTTCAGTTAATGTTTTTGCTTGAAAATATTCTGGGGTTTACCTCTGTTCACCAAACTCCCAGTATTATATCTGTTTTTAATGCTATTCTGATACTAAATCCAGCTGATGGTAGTAAATATGTTATTTATCTTTCAAAAACATTATTATTAATTTTACTACGTTTCGTGATAATGACAATGTAAATTGTTTACTGAACGTTATATTATTTGGTTTACTTCGGGTGATTGTAGTTATTGAGGTCATTCTTTTCTTCCAAAGATATAGCAAGATTTATATTAGTTCGTGGCGATAACAATGTTTAGAACAGAACTTAAAAACCTTTAAAAATAGTAGAATATAATAAGAATTTTCAACCTGATCGACAACTTATGCATATGTAAACTAAACAGCCCGATCAGAGACCTTTAGACTTCAGGCATAGGCGTTCCTTAGTTTGAACTACTGATCAGAAGGAAAGCAACCAGTAAGAAGCAACCACCGCCGCGAAGACTTTGTTTGGATCTTTCAACCAAATAACGGAACTGAGTGTCACTTTTATAACGCGTTTACAGCTAGAAGTGTGGAGCGTGTTCAATGACATCATATCTTGAACTCTAAACTGTTCAATACATAGCCCAACAAGCTAACCACGAGGCCATGATGAAAATTCGAAACTGGCTTTGGCTGTATACTAACTATGAACTAAGTTTTAAAAAATGTGCCCAAAACACATTTTGGCAGTTGTTTTGACTCAGGCACCCGTAAATTGGAAAATACTGGAGACGAATGCAACATCAGACTGAGTAATTCTGACATTCTGGCTAATCTTGATTCAAAACTCGAGCACTTGCCTCCTGGAGAGAAAAATCAACTTGCTAGTTTATTGACTAAATACGAATGTATATTTCCGGACATTCCTCATCAAACCAACATCGCTGTTCATGATGAAGATATAGGTGACGCTTCTCCTGTGAAACAACATCCCTACTGTGTGAATCCAATCAAGGCCGATAAAATGCGTAAAGAAATATCTTGTATGCTGGAAAACGGCATTATAGAGCATAGTAAAAGTGATTGGTCTTCACCTTGTGTACTGGTCTCTAAATCTGATGGTTCTGTTAGATTCTGTACAGACTATCACAGAGTAAATGTTTTGACAAAGACAGATTTCTATCCCATTCTAAGAATGGAAGATTTGAATTGATAAAATTGGAAAAGCCAGATATATTAAAAATGTGACCTACTAAAGGGATACTGGGCTGTTCCTAAAACTGACAGAGCAAAAGAAATTTCTGCTTTTGTTACTCCTAATGGGTTATACCAGTACAATGTAATGCCCTTTGGGATGAAAACTTCTCAAGCAACGTTTCAGCAAATGATGAATCAATGCCTCAACAATCTCTCAGATGTTGGAATTTATGTTGATGATATTGTGATTTCCACTGACACATGGAAAGAACATTTATGTGTATTACGTGATGTTTTTGAGAGGCTTAAGAAAGCCAATCTCACTGTAAATTTGGCAAAAAATGACTTCTGTAAAGCCAAAGTTTTTTACTTAGGTCATGTAGTAGGCCATGATAAAGTTTCTCCAATTTAAGCCAAAGTTGATTGTATTGTGAATTATCCAACTCCTACCAGCAGGAAAATTTTGATGAATTTTTTGGGGAATGGCTGGCTATTACAGGAAGTTTTGTAAAAATTTTGCTGACATCACCGTACCATTAACAAACCTTTTGAAGAAAAATCAAAAGTTCAAATGGTCTGAAACATCTTAATCTGCTTTTGAAAAGGTCAAATCTTTGTTATGCACTTATCCTGTATTGATAGCGCCTGATTTTGATAAGCCTTTCACATTAGCTGTTGATGCCAGCGACTGTGGTGCTGGTGCTATTCTATTACAATCAGACGACAAAGGTATTGAACACCCTGTTTCTTATTTTTCTAAAAAGTTTAATTGTCATCAAAAGAACTATTCTACTGAAGAAAAAGAAGCATACACTCTAGCGTTAGCTTTAGAACATTTCAATGTGTATGTATCTGCATCACAACAACCTATAGTTATTTACAATGATCATAACCCGTTGACGTTTTTGAATCAAATGAAGGGCAAAAACAAAAGACTGTTAACTTGTAGTTTATCCTTACAAGAGTATGATTTGAAGATAATCCATGTCAAAGGGGTTGATAACATTTGTGCTGATGCACTATCACGTGCTGTGTAATTTTATGATCATAAGATTATTTGTATTGATTGTGTTGTATACTGTCATGATTATTGGAGTTTTGTAATCCTTTGAATAATGTATTATATTTAATGTATTGTTGTCTATGTGTATATATATAATATCTTAGTTAAAAATTGTCTAACACCAATTTTTAATTCTCTAAGAAGGGAGTTGTGACGGATTTATTATTCTATATTCATTTTAATATCGATGTTTAAATTAAATTTCTATTTAGAAATGTTCATAACGTATACTGTTAAATATGTATTGCGAAACTCCCGCCTATTCTCTAAAGTTGTAGAAGATTCTCGAGTGTAAGAATCAACAATATATGTGTGTATGTAAACGCTAGTGTAGCTTTGTATTGTTACGTAATCTGAATTTTCGAGAAAATCTCCATACGCCTATAAATATAACCAACGCGACGCGCCAAAAAACAGTATATATTATTGGTTTGCTATAGTTGGTGTGCTATAAACTTCAGAATCTATAACTGTGATTGTTATAACAATTATTAATCAGAAACTTAATATATTTGACCAGGAACATATATAAATTTCAACATTACAAACCATTTAACTTCAGTGGATTCACATCGGACATTAGTACTTTTACGAAAACATTACCTAACGTCACTGGTAGGAAAAATATCGGCGTGTGATCAGAGAGAACTACAAAGCTAGCTAGCTCCCTATTAAGTGAATTGTACCTCCATCAACTCGAAATTAACTCGTTCATCGTGAACACTCGATAAGACATCAAGAAAGTTCCAGACTAAAAAGAAGACTTTATATTGCTTGTAAGTTTGTAAAACTTTTGCATATAAATCATTGTTTCTAATAAATATTTGTAATAACTGTTATTGTAAATTGTATTGTTGTTTGTATATTAAAACATATTTGTGTTAAGAAAGAAAACTGTGTGTATCAATCTTGTAGGCAGATATTATAAACTCACTATATATCGGCTTTTACTTAACTGCTAAATCCAAAGTATAATTTACCTACTAAATTTAAAGTATCATTTAAC